TCATGCATATCCCTTTTCTTGTACACGCTGCCTCCGATAGCCAAATCATTGAAAGCGCAGTAGTCTGTGAAGAGGTCTCCGTTATCATTCACTTCGCCAAGGTTCTATTCGAACGAGTTTGACGTTCATATCTTGCGTAAGTATTTTGATATCACCATTCGTGATGTTGCCCATTACTGTTTGCAGCTGTCTGTCGAAATCTTCCTCCTTATCTTGTCCCCCCTTGTTTGCATCAGTGTGCATAGCATTGGGTGACCGTAACTTTCCTCCATGTTGAGTTGAATCTTGCTGTAATGATCCTGGATGAAATTGGTTCCTACTGCATTAGGGCTCTGAATGCCACTGGTGATATCATTATAGCCACTCACTGCCTCAGTGTGCTCATGGTTGTCGTCTATGTAACCAGACTGAAGTAGATTACTGACTCACCAGTTGACAATTTCGACGACCCGCATGCATCTCAGCTGCTCTTGCAGACTCCTAGCACTTCCAAGCCATATTTTCTCATTTCTTTGGTACCCTGGGGAGCCTTTCCATATTCGTACATTGAAGGAACATTCCACTTATTTTCTCTGTCATCGAAAAGATATACATCGACTTACAAAATGATCCCGAAGGCTTTCACCAGCCCGCGTCACTTCACCTCCCAGATTCCAGCGAGAAATAAGTTAGTTTTTTGAATTTTTAGTATTTTTCTTGTAGTTTGAAATTTTTGTGGCGTGTTAATTGGGCCAGTCTGAAGGGTCAGTGGGTATTAAGGTCACAGCCTAGGTTAAGCAGAATAGATAGCCATATGGGAAGCACAGGTGTTGTTGCTAGTTGAAGCCAACCAGAAACGAGCTCTAAGTTGTTCAAGTGACATAAATTAGTGGTTTCCTTGAAGTACTCAGTGGGCGTTGATAAGGCATATCCCCCGTTTTAAGTGGCGCCTCCAGCTTTACCTTGAGGACATTTGCGCGGTCTTGTTGACTTCAGATTGGCTGATTTGTTTCGTTTGATCTAGGTAGCTGCATTTGACGTGATTCTGGTTTCTGTTTGGCTTGAACTGTATTGATTTTGTTAAGAATAGTCGTCAAAAGCTGCCTCTAGGCCTGAAGGCAGTTATGGTGCAGGAGGATGCTTGAGAATGTGTTTCATGTGAAAATTATAGGGTGCACCTAAAATCCTCCTGTTTGTGGCGTCTCAATGATTTCTGTAGATCTCCGTTTCATCACTTGTGTCCATATTTGTCGTTCACGAGTGTTTCAGTAAATGTTTGTGGCTACAATCAGGAACTTTCCAAAACGGTAATTGTGGTAAGGGATTTATATTTTTTTCCGCTATAGTTTCCAAGTCAGTGTCTATTTTAAGTTGCTTACTTTACTCTATTCGCTATTCATCAATTTTTTTATTGAAAAGCTTCTGTTTTCATTTACAGTGGTACCGAATGGACGCATTGGCACTTGGAGACAATGGCGACCAACCTGCCCTTCCTATATCAGTGGATATCAAAAACATTTTTGACGGAATTATGTTTAGTCACCGGTATACCAGTTGGGTTCAAGTAGAAGATGCTCTAAGTCAGCTGGAATCAGTAATATATGTATATATGTATGACAACTCATACACATTATGTAATCAAAAATTGCATACGGGACCATGAATCTCAGGATTTGAAGTACAAATTAGTAGTCTTTCGTTGTACATATGGCATGAAGCGAAAAACTGGAGGTTCAGGTTTACGCGTCAAACCGTAAGAATTCTGTTATTTATTTCTGCAGTGCAAAATACACCGGTTGCCAATCTGGCTTTCGTAAACGCTACAAGGGGGACGAGTTTATTATTTCTTCCGCAAAAACTGTTCACAATCACAGGTGTGAAAAAAGTCTTATGATAGGTGATCCATATTTTAGACGCGACTCGGTGCACAATAGTATATACACAAATAAACTGAAAAATAACGTCCTCCTTACCTTGTGAACAACTTTTCCTTATTACAGGACAATAACTGTCTTTCACGTATGAGCCTGAGATATGTCTATGAAATCACAATATTATATCAGTTAAATCTCGCCCCGAAACCAAGGCCACTTGAAACCAATAGCAACATAGAGACAAACGTCATTGAGGGGATATGCAATAAAGTCGCTCGTACTCAGTTATTTGCTGTAGACTAACACACAGAGAGACAATGTACCATTGCCATGACTTTGTAATCTATGTCAGTTTTCTAATAAGGTCTTCACTTGCTCATTATATTCCACTAAACCTAACATTTTATAGCTCTTTATGAATTTGATTCGACTTATTTTATTCCTACTCTCTATAGGGTACGGTTGTGCACCAAACACAAAAAGGTATAAAATTAAAACAACCGGCTTGTGGATAATTGTATTAAACCAAAAGTGGACAACATGATAGTAAAACCTATAGGGTAGCATTATACATTGCAAATGAACTTTGTCAGTCTAGGGATTATAGTCTCCCATTGTATTTCCTTTATGAATGCATATATTAATGATACATTGCATTTACCTATTTCATTACACTTTAATGATTCACCTTAGCATCTTTACTTTTCTAAAACAGCTTACTATCCCTTGTAAACGCTGTACTTACCTCAATATTGGTTGGTTATCGTATGCCTACAACTACGGGTTGAAAACGAAATGAAGTCGATTTTCCTGCGCAACCTGGAGGACTGCTGTTTAATTCAATAATCATACGACATGGGTCAGACAAAGAGTGTATTTATACATACATCAAATATTTAGCTGTTCCAACATTACTAACTTGTAGACAATCTACTATTTGACATTGTATCAAACTCGATCGTGCCTGTAAAAATGGCATGCATTTTCATGTAAATTTACGTTTATATGAAAATGTAAAATTATTATTATAAATAAAGCTGAGAGGTGTCATTCGCATGAATTACGCTCCAATGCTTGCATGCCAGGCGAGGATGCTTGCACACTTCACCACATTAATAGTAAGCGTCTATTGGTTAGACAAGCCTATAAGGTCCTACAGTGGATCTCATTGTTGACATTAAGCCTTGACAAAACTTCGTGGTGATCTGCTTGCAGAAACATTGGACATTAGGCGAACCAAAGGCTAAGCTGACACTCAAGACAGAAAAAATAAGGAGCGCAGCTGATGCACCATAGGTCAAGAGAGGTACGGGTTGATTTCCACTCTATGAATCCCGGGGACTAGGGATTTGTCTCTCCAGGTCAGCAGGCTTACTATAACTTGGGGTGTTCACAGTTTCACGCAAAATCTCGCCTGCATCAGTTGGTCTAATAACTTACCAAAACTCATGGAGACTATGTAGACCGGCTTCTCTGCAACCATTGACTTAACTTTGCTCCTAAACGAGATGTTAACTCGAAAACTGTGCTATGCGCTGGGTTAATAAATGTTGTTTCCTAACTAGGCCATGATGGCCTTCTGAGTTATTCTTGCCACTACCCTAATTAAGGTGCGAGCAAGGCTAACATATATGTATTTTGGAAAACTGTGTATATCTCCTTATCTGCAGGCGTGGGTAAATACTGCATTCTTCTTGTTGAGTCGCAACTCCCCTTGCATAGTTGATTACTTTTTAATGGATTTTTTACGTGAACTATGAAATCCTTAAAAAGTCGTGGATGGGGTTCATCGAACCACGGTGAATCTTCCCCATCTAGTTTGCTTAGGGTTTTGAACTCAACTGTTTGGTTGATATCAACCGAATTTTTACTGCTTCCTGTCGGTGAGATCTTAAATAGTCTCTATTCCTAAGTAGAAACCCTGGAGAATAAAATAACTATTGATCCAAAAAAGGCGTGGGGGATCCGATAATGCGTATTTTTCCCTATGTCCCTGCAACAGGATAACTTTTTAGGTCACCCCACTGAATTTCGCGCTAGGTGCTTTTCAAATTCCATCTGTAGTCGGTGAGATTCTGTGGTAAACCTACTTCTGCTTCTTGCAAACAGCTTAGTGGTTAGTGAAACTACAGAATTCATAAATGCATCCTAACGGTTGCACTCCCCATTAAATAAACCTCAAGTCTCTCAGGTTTTCTACTAGGGGCAGCGCTGCTAGCCTATCGGGGGCACTCCACGAGATGTAGGAAGTGGGTTCAGCAGCTGATCCTTAGTATCCAATTCGGCGAAAATGAGTTGACAGGTAGCACGCATAAAGTTGTAGCTAAACCAGGTTTTTGTGGGTATGTTGGTTGACAGACGAAATTCCAGTGATACACACGGAAGACTGTTCATTACTCTTTAGTTCACTAGAATATACGGTCCTTAAAAATAGGGTATAATTTCTAACCAGATATTTGTTTTCGGCCATCAATATTTCCTAATTTGCAACTGCCATTTGACGTCTTTCCTCCTGAATACAATGCCAAATGAATGAATCTAGTGTTGAGGCCATGAGCGAAGGGGAAATCTCTAAGAGAAGGTTGGGTAATCAAGCAAAAATATAGAGACTCCGACTGAATGGCCCGTCCTTACTAAAAAAATAGGATGCGACCCTCACGTGCCGCACTGTGTCAGTGAGTTTCAACTAAACTTTTCCTTGAATCCCGCTCGGTCTCACTTATCTGATTTCTCCTCTTAATCTGCCTATAAATTCACTTACATATGAATTGCTGCTTCTTATTATGCCTCTGTGCGCATGTACAATACTGATCACAAGTTAGATCATCATTTACACTGTTGCCGTTGTTATAGCCTTGCCCTTCTACCATAACGGATGGCTAACGAGTGAAAAGACTAACTTTGGTTACCACGTTCTCAATACATCGCATTCTGCAAATCGCTTTAACAATTCATACCACTTTCCTCTAGGACTGCCAAACGTACAAGAAGTGAGTGAAGGAGTGAACTACGGAGGAGCCCAATGAAGAACGGAAACCTTGATAGGGAGATAAGGGATTTCCTGTCAGTTTAATACTACTCGAAATCAGATAGGATTAGTGTGGTCCCTTTTTATATATTTCTGCAGATCTGAAATCACTAAACTCACCGCTTGTTTTAACCGGTCAATGGGTTACATCGAGGGACACGTATTTCAACGTAGATTTCGATCAGTAAGGTAGCGTCCGCCTGCAGAGTGTCCAAAAAGAATGGTAAGGTGTTCGTTTAAGTGGTAATTTGACAAAATTTCCTAGCCAACTGCAGCTCCTTCTTCGTCTAAATCTGCAGCTGCTTCATCAAGAGGGTCTGCTGGTGGCGTTCGTCAACGAAAGGTTAGTGCATTGTCTCAGATTCCATTGTATTTTAATTGGTAACTCCTCTAAACTGATTTACATACGGATGATAGTATTTAAAAATAGATTATAGCTGCCGTGTTGCAGTATTTTCCGCCTACTGCTGATACTGCGGGGATGTAATTTATGCCTACGTTTAAAATGTATATGTTAATGGGTGGGATTTTAACTTGAGACATAGAAAACATTAGCTGCAGCGAATCCATTGAGGCCACTTATATATGACTATATACTGCGGCATTATGATTAACTTGTTTTGGTGTTTCAACTGCTAAATGTCAGTAACTTAATAAGCCAGCAATTACTCAAGACTTACTTTTAACTTCATTGTCATCACTTATCTGTATAACTTGATTTTGCCTGATGCGAAACTGAAGTTTTTGGTACTGCAACAGTTATTTATCTTGTCAGTCACTCGTGAAAACTTTCTATTCGTACAGTGTCACTAAAACAATAATCATCATCTGAATACATTTTACCCATCTCTTTTTTTATCAATTTGTCGGTGACTAAACACTCAATTATGGTAAAATTACTCACAAGATTCTTCAATAGCTCGTTTTTGAGTAACTGTTTGGGTTGCAATAGAGTATTCCAATCTTGTGTAAGAAGTAATGAAGGCAGCATAATTTCTCATTATTCTAGCCCTTGAATATTTTAGACAATTTAGACTTTTGGTCTGCGGTTTTTCCTCCAAGGGGTGTTAGCGAGTTGCAGTTGCATTTCATCCTATATTACATTAAGTCATATGATAAATAGTCACGGACACCTTTCCTACCCTCAGAACTATCCAGAATTATTGTAAAATATTTGTTTTGTAGACATTTTGCATGTTATCCTGTATCTGGTCATAGCACTTTTCAATAAAATGAAAACGGCTATTTCGAAAAAATATAATATTTTACAGGCATCTGAAATATTTATGCCTCAAATGAAAGGTTGTCTTTCTATGATCCTTAAATATCTTTTCATAACAGGGCTGGTGTTAAGAATAGATGTCGTATCGCGTCATGTCTCTCTGGCGGTGGCACTGAATTTTTGACCACTAGATCATGGGTTCTGACCCTTCTCGTACCGTCGTTTAGGCAACCAGGAAGTATTCTAAGCTCATACAGTAGACGTGGCTCAGTGACGACTACATAGAATGTAATTAGTTGTTGAGCAAAATTTGTAGAATCCCTCGCGTTTTATGGTTAATTACATTTATTATTACTAACATGATTTACCTCTTCCGAATGAAATCAACTTCGCCAAATACACTGACCGTCTCGCTTCCTGTTAGGTCTATGTCAGACTGTTGCAAACTTCATAGCTTTTTGTCAGACATCAGTCAGTGTTCTAGGCTAAGTGGTCCTGCGTTAAATCCTTTTAAATGCCAGACTATTGACTTATCCTTTAGACGTGAACGTGATCTACAGCGACTGGTTAGTACACACGATGCTTGTAGCTTAGACGGGACTAATTGAAACTAGGTTCATCACGAAATACCTTGGTATAGTTCTATCCTGTGACCTTACTTGGTCATTCCATATTTTATCGATATCGGAAAAAATTTTCCGTTTAAGGTATTACATTAAGAAGCTAAAACTATCTGGAATCACTTAACCTCTGCTTCTACATTTTTTTAACTCGTGCGTGTTACCCATTATACTTTACTGCCCCCTTTTAGTCTTTCCTGAGGTACTGAAAAAGCACTGTCATTTTGAGAAGAGTATTAAGGGTTTTCCCTCAACATCTCCTCTATTCTCAACTCTCCCCCTGTATCTCATCTGGTAGGACTGGAAGTCAGTACAAAAGGTTATATGCTCGTACTCCCAAGTATAGGAGCTCAATGATATTATATTTGGCCTGTGTTTTATTCGATAGAAACAATGTAAAGCGTGAAGCTTATCAATTACTGTGTTGTTAGCAAAATAATTGGCCCTTTTATTATTTCCTATTTGTAATATATGGTGACGGTATCTCAATTAACTGACTATCTTAGCTACTAAACTTATTATTATTTACATTTTTTTCCTTTTCTGTATGTACATGACTTCACTGTCACTACAGATACCAAATAAGGACTGCCATTAACAATCCTCAAATATTATCTTGATAATTGTTTTCAGTATTATTCAATAAAATTAGATGCAATATTGTACCAAATGCTTAAAATTCCACACTAACATTAGTACTGTTTTGGAATAAAGCAAATTATTATGATTTCACTAACCGTTAGTTAAAACACTGCAGATAATACATACTTTCAGGTACTACTTCTTATGCCAGGGCTGCAAATGCTACGCATTTGTTCGGTTTATGGTAGGCGGATTGGAATTCGAACTCGAGACCCATCAACCGACAACTAAGTGGTATGCGTTACGTTCACCATACAGTTTTGTCTTTCGAAAATGTCAAGGCAGTATTACTGTTGTTGCATTTGTTTTATCCTTAAGTGCGTTGGTGGCACGGCGGTAGAATGCTCGCCAACCACTCCATAAGTGGTTCGGGGTTCGATCGCCGGCCGACTCACTCCTTTACCTCGCTAAGCTAGTAATAAGACTGGTGAAGAGGGAGGTTTGAGCATGAGCATGTGGTAAAAATAATTACCACTGCTACCGAAACTTCAAAGCTCTAGCTTGAAGCCCTATGTTCCACTGGGGACGTAAAGGAATAAAAAAAAATTTGTTTTATCCTTAGGTATTTATTTTATTTTTCCTTCACGTTCCCCAATGGAACATAGGGCTTCAAGCTAGTGGCTTGAAGTTTCTGTGGCAGTGTTTATTTTACAGGATGGGGTTGCTAGCCTCATGCCCAACCTTTCCTCTTTACCAGCATTATTTCTGGCTCAACGAGGTAAAGGAGTGGGTCGGCCGGGGATCGAACCCCGGACCAAGTACATGGTCGGCGAGCGTCCTAACCGCTATACCACCGACGCACCTTATCCTTAGGTGACTGGTATTATTATTTTATTATCAACATCAATATTGTCATTATCTTTTGTACCCGTTCGCATCAGATTGCAGTTTACATTTGTGGAAATAAATCGATAGTTGGTGAATTTTTAAAAATACAGACAATTCTGAGAACCAAGTGTAACATGTTTTGATTTCAGTCTCATGCGTAACATGTATAACAGCATATTAACTGATGTTATTAGTGTAACGATTTTTAGAAAGGTTGAGTCAACTTGAGTTAGTTTGACATCAATCTTGACTCAATAAGCCTACTCCTAGAATATCGTTTGTTGGATTAAGCAAAGTCAACTTTTAGCTGTCTTGCAATCGCTGAAAACTGTGCTCAGAAAGCTATCGAGTTTGAATTAAGAGAAGAAAATTCGGAAAAATGTAGTGGTATACACTTCCTAGGTTGCTCAATATTTTTATTTTTACCTCATATTTACCATAAAATTTATTTTCAAAACGATATGCAAGATCCTTTTACTCTGTAGTTTGTCTGTAAGACTGAACTTACTAACCCTGATTTCTGTTCCAAGCACTAAGCTTCACAATACTCTGTGCTAACTGCTTATATATCATGTCAGGTGCACTTATAAAGCACAAAGTCAGGAAGTACTATTCCCTGAATGTTTCTGGCTCAATTTCCATTTGATAATATGATTGCAATCTGTCTGTTTTCGACATAGAACTTTGCACCGATGTGCAGCAGTTCAAGTTGCCACACTCCATGTAGCACACAAACCAAGAGAAGAAAGTAGAAGAAATGCAAAATAGAGATAGTAGACAGAGATATGAGACAAAAAGAATAGTAATAACGAAGGACAATATAGTTTTATTGGAAGTTATAGGTCACAAGGAGTGGATGCATCTGCACCGGCCATCGAGAACGATTTTGAGCCATAGCACCGATTGTCTCCAGCCATTGGTGTTCACCGTCCCGAGGACCCCAATCAGAAAATCTACACCTTCCTACATGGCGGCTGGCTTAAACTAACTGTTGTGGATCTCATTGACTGGTGCCATGTTTCGGTTTGACCGCTGCTAGCTCTTTTCCAACCTGATCCTATATCAGCTAACATTGCCTATTGTCGAGGAAGGTGATGACTAGGCATACGTAACACATATCCTAACCATCTCAGTCGATGCAATTTCACAGTCTCGTCGACTGATTTCCCCGCCTTACCCAGCACTCGGCGCCTGACCTCAATATTGCTCACCTTATTATACCACTTCACACGGGAGATAGAACGTAGGCACCTATGATCAAAGACAGCTAATCTTTTCATGTCTTCCACTTTCAATGGCCAGGTCTCACAGCCATGAAGGAGGACGGAGTGGACTGTTGAGCAGTACACCCTCTCTTCGGTCGATAGCCAGCCGGATATCACGTCTACGCCAGAGACGGCGTAAGCTGGCATATGGAAACTATCCCTCTGTATCCGCGCTGAGATTTCGTCAGAGATCAACCCGTTATGGCTAATGGTACCACCCAAATAAGTGAAGCGGTCAACGTGCTCTACCACCTCACTCCCTATTTCTAAACTAGGAGTCAGCATAGTCCAGTCCTGTAACATCATCTTACATTTGGCGGAAGCGAATCGCATGCCAAACATTCGTAGATTGCAGCTCAAATTCTTCAGAAGACTCTGCATTTTGTCATAGTCCTCGTCTAGAAGGTCTATATCATCTACATATTGTAAGTCAACGAGATTATCCCCTGGTAGCAAGTCAATCCCTGAGTCTCTGAAGTGAGTTAGGGTTAAATCCATTAGTACATCCATGATGAAATTGAATAGAAATGGGGATAATGGGCATGCCTGATGGACACCACTAGTTATCACCACTTCAGATGACAACTCGCCGTAAGCTCTCACCTGGCTTACTGCATGAGTTCGGGTAGAGTGCCTTGATCAGTGCGATATATTTTCTTGGCATTCCTTTCACAGACAAGCAACACCAGAGAACCTGTCGGTCAACAGAATCGAATGCCGCCTTTAGGTCAAGAAATACAACAATTGTTGGACGCCGGTAAGAATGCCTATGTTCTAGGATCTGTCGAAGGGTGAAGATATGATGAATACACCGTCTTCCTGGTCTAAAGCCTGCCTGGTTCTCTGAGGAATGCAGTCGCATACATTTCAGTGATTGGTTCTTTTTGTTGAAGTACTTTTACTGTGTTGACTTCTTTCATGTGCTCTAAATGGTATCTGATAAATGACACTTTTGCTGTGCGCTTCTACAAACATAAGTGGTTTGGCTTACACCGAATTGCGCCACTCATGCCTCAGATGAAGTATTCAAATGTGTTTTGCCACTGTATTATTGTTGAATATTCACGATAAAGGTAAATTTGCAAGGACTCCTAGCATTATCAGTCTGTGGTTAAATCACATGAACAATGTAAAAGTTAGGAAGATTCTTTGATGAAGTGGGTAAGTAATTTGAAAAAGTTATAAACTCCCGTCGCCTACGACAACAGGGAATTTTCTTTCGGTGTCAGTCTGGACAAATGATTAGTATAATTAGCCTGCACACTGATTTTTGGCTCATAGGCTCACACATTAATAAACCGTTCAGGCTATCAGATTCCTTACGTGTGTATGGATACATTCTAAAAGCGTCTTACATCACTACATGTTATCCTTATTTTCAAACTTTCATTTTTGTATTTGTGTCTTTTTCTCCCAGGGACCAACATCATCAGCAAGGAGACCAGTTGCGCCAACTGCACAGAAAAATCCTGTCTTCCTGTTCTATTCAGAAGACTCTCCTGGCATTAAAGTTGGACCTGTACCAGTGCTAGTCATGAGTCTATGCTTCATTGTTTCTGTCTTTCTTTTACACTTCTGGGGTAAATATACCCGCAGTGCTTGATCAGTTTTGCTTTATTATTACTTATTTTGTAATTATGTTGGTGGACAGTTATGTACATACATAACTAATAAAATCAGTCAAATAACTTTGATGAAATTTATTCTTCGCAGTTTGTTGAGTAGTTGTGACTTATTCTGAAGTGGGGTTATAACTTTGTTATACGCTGTAATGCATTACTGAGATCATTTAGAACTCTGCCTAGTCCACCCGGCCGATAGCTGCTACCTTGACGTGGTGGTCGGGCTTGCATATCGCAATGACCCAACGAGCTACACTGGCTGGAACGTATGTTCCTGTAGGTCCTACCATGCCAGAAAGGTTGTTTGGATAGCGGTTAGACAAAAAGCAACTACCCAATCCAATACTATGACTCAAACTAACTCACAAAATATCATGCCTGATCGGTCGGGGCCCGGATTAACAACGACCGCGCTTCCTGCTGCTGTGTCACAGGGCAGAAGTCATAAATATGCTACTGAGACACACCAAATGAAGAAGAACAAACAAAAACAGGCCGCGTGTGACCGGCCTCAAGCAGTTGTCCCCTGGGCTCTGCGGTCACGCAACACTAACCTTTTCTCTATTTCAGGTACCCGAAAACTCAACCAACTTCCACGGTGTGGGCAGCCGGGAAGTAACAACCGCCCACACACTTCCGACCGACCTGCCTAGTCCAACAAATAACATCTAGATAGTGTTTTAGTATCCTACTACCATTGATAATCAGCTAGAAAAAGTGGACTACAGGAATTTTATGATTATGAACTTGCTGAAATACAGATAACGAAAGTACACTGGAACACGAGTTTTGGGTTCTGTGTGTGCTACTCAGCCAAATGGATCGATTGAAACTAAGGGAGCTGGTGATATTTTTTGCTGACTTGTTTGTGTTTCGCACCTACTTATCTCAAGGATTATAGTTCAAATACAGTCACGGTAAAAGTTAGAGAAACTTAACTTGTAGGAGAAGTATACTGAGGGTATTTCGTACAACAAACGGCGAACGTTGCTCGGATGAATATATGTTAGTATCCTAGACCAACTTAGAAAGTATGAAGGGACCTTGTTCTACACGGCAGCCGTTGATAATGAACACATGGATTGTCGCAATTGGTCATCGATGAAAATCGTCAGTGAAAGAACAACGCCTATCCTGGAGCAACTGTGTGAATTCGTGCACATACGAGTGATATTTCGTCTGGCGATTTTTACGTAGGTTGGTGAAAGTGAATCCGCATCTCAAAAGCTGACCCCTTACTTAACTAGCAGTTAACCCGTCAGAAGTACGCAGTCGGTGTATTAGTGTTAAGTGACCTTTGAAGGACTTGGTCTTTTGAACGACTTGAGCAAGAACCCAAATATATTTCTCTGTCTGGACGAAAACAAGGCTGCACTATTTATCAAAAGAATTTACTATTTTATAAATTGAATCAACCCTAATGAAATGAATATTATCGAAATCTTGGCACGAACACTGGAAACCCACCCGTACGTCACTCTAAGGATTTGAAGAAGAAACCCAACTACACACCAAAAGGTAAATACATCGCGTAACCACTTTCCGTTTAGTCTTACTGTTATGAAGTGAAATCGCCAGAAGAATCAACATTTAGGACTATATGTAACTTCGTGGTATTTATGGCTACTGCAGGAACCACAAAAGCCAAACAGTTCTAAGTAAGGATGGTTGGTCAGTTGATGACACTGTGAATTTACATATAATGAGATGTTTGTGCCTTACTGAGTCACATTGTGGTTCTAAAAGTGAATATCATTCAAAGTATGACTAGTTTGCAAAAGAGTTAGGGCTGATCCCACCGAAACAGGAAAGTCCCCAACTGTTGAGTAGTACTAGCTGTCTTTCAGCGTCTTGGGAATTCTGAACATCTTTTCCCGTCCTTACTTAATTATTATGTTGTCTGTTTTAATATCGTCCTATTTTCCTTTTATCTATGCTGTTTCGAGTGTGGCGACTTGAAGTAATACAGTCTTCTAAGCTTAGTTGTATGCTGAATATTGTGTTAATAATAAAAATTTATCAAAGCAATTCTAAACACAAGCCTATTTCTACCTTGAAGCACCTAATGTAAATTCGTGGTGTCCCAGTTAATTGTCACTGTGTATCGGCAATTTACACGTTAGTGATTTTTCTTAAATCCCTGTGGCGGACGCTAAATATGCATCAGTGAATACAAGGGGCTGTATAGTGACTGACATCGAAGCACATATGTAGAAATATTCTGATCAATATTGTAGAGTAAAGCTAAGGTTTATTACTGTCGTCACTGGGTTTCCAATGCGTAAACTATTGCTTTGTAAGTTGTTTGACTCTATGATACTTTACAAACTTAGTTGTGCTTACAAGTAGGTTAAACTTGCATATTTCTATGATTGTTATTACTATTATTGCCTTAGGTTACGAGTGGAAGATAGGGCTTCAACAGCACACCTCTGTTTTGTCATGCTCTCTCCAGTCCCTTCTTCAGCTGACCCCACAATTGCCCTTAAGTTTTCACCTCCATGTCACTCTCGCAAACACCCAATTCGACATTGGCCTGGTGTGCGGTGTCACTCGAAGTTCCCAGTTCTCCAGGATACCTGTTGGTCAGGAAGGCTCTTGATTGGTTCGTTCCCAGAGTTTCTTGTTGTTAATTCTTTTTGGTTGGCCATCTGATCTCCAGTATCGAGCTAAGACAGCTGTTGATTAAAGTTTGCTACCCGTCGGAAGTGCTCTTGGTGATACGCCAAGTCTCCTCTAACACATATACGAGAACTGACTGACTTACCACTGTTAATGACAATCTCAATCTTGTTCTTAATGCTGAGTGCAGAAGGTTTCCAAACTGATGAATCTCTGCCTTGCTTTTCCAATCCTGATTTTGACACCCTCATCTGTCCCACCACCTGTAGTGGGAATGGTACTACCCAGACAAGCGAAGAAAGTGACCTCTTTCAAATCTCTTCTGTTGACAGTGACCAGTACTTGTTGTTGGCTGGTTATTTTCATCACCTGCATTTTCTCTCTGTTCACTTGAAGTCCTGTCTTTGCCGCATCTTCTACCAGTTTGTTAGTTTTCGCCTATAAGTCTTCGAATCTATGCATATGAAGTACTGTCTAATCACTGCATGCATGTACTTTTGAATTCTTTATTGTAAGTCACCAGTTGATTTTAATCTTCTCCATGGATAAACCAGCAATTTGAGAGCCATTCACCAAACTTTTATTGAGTGTTTGAAACCAGTTATCCAAAAGAAAAATCGAGTACTTCCTGATCATGGGGTCCTCTTTGCGATACCCGTTAATATGGTTAGCTTAGGAGGTATCTAAAACTGGTATTCCAATAACGTTCAGAGATATCTATTACTGTTCCGCATTTCGGTACACTTATTTCATATCATGTTTGGAAGTTTTCTGTTGTTACAATGAATACTGTACGTGGTTTAATTAGAATATTGGTACACAAAGGTGCACCAACATTTTTTACGGTGACAGAGAAGTTGTAGATTACCCAGAAGATGTGCTAGGAATGTTAAGGACTAGCAGATAGACGTGGTATAGTATTTTTCCTTCGGATTTGTGGAAATCACTAATTTTCACCTTATTATTCTTTCTGTACCTTTGCAAAGTGTGGCAAACTGAACTAACTACGGTGTTAACTCCTATACGGATTTGCTCATCTGCTTGCAACAAATTTGATGTCCGTGCCAGTCTCCCGTGTTTAGTGGAGCAAAGTAGCAATAGTGACATTAAGCACCGTGTTAGATAAGCAAAAAGAATAAACCGACAAGATTGTGAATCTCCATTGATCGACATGACCAAAATATGTGTTACACAAACAGAACCTCAACCTTCTCAGAATAGCAATGTTAGCTGAAGAAGGGTTACGCCTAAGAAGAGAGACGGGGTCGAAAAAGAACATAATCTCAACCCATGAATTATTTAACTGCCAGCTGGACGAGTCATGTGGCGAGATGTAGACTCCCTGAAATGCTAAACACCAGCCAAAATATATGGGGCTTAAAGTCGTTCACAAAGGTACAGATGTATTTATTCTCTATCAAGGGAGGAAATTTGAATGAGTTTACTTCCTTCACGTATCCAGCCAGGCGCCATCGTTTCAACTACAGGCAGAACGGATGAGGATGTCAAGACCAGGAACGGAAAGGCAAGGTAAACCTTCATCACCCTGGAAATTCTCTGCACTCCGCCAGAAAATGAACAATATCATCCGCATTTTCAAAAAGAATGTTAAATCAGTGAGTTCTTCTATATGGGTCAGAAACTTGGCACGTGCATCATGAAAACCATTTCCAACAGGTTGTAGACCTTTATCAACAGGTGACTTCGCTTCATATTGAGGATTAAATGGCAGGCCAGAAAGAATTAGCACCAATAAACTATGGGAACAAACCAACAAAGAACCTATTGCTCAACAAATATCCCGAATAAAATAGAGATGAACTGGGCATACGCTGAAAAGACCGTCGAATGACATCGCTCAAGTGGGAAACGCCAAGTTGTGCGTGTTTCCGAGTGTGACATAATGGAGTTCGTATGAGAAGAAGATGAAAGCTTATGGGCAATCTTGCGAGCAGCTAAAGAGAACCGCAGAGGATAGAACAAAATGGAAACGTGTTGCTGAAGCCCTATGTTTCACTCGGAACCCAAGGCAACAACAACAATAGCAATATGTCATGCAAATTCTAAAGTTCTCATCTAAGTATTTTCGCTTATCAATAAGTCTAAAGTAGTCACATCGAATTCTTTTTCTTTATCATTGTGTACTTTACTGAATTGTAGCAAATTAAGATGGTGCAGCTTTTCTACGGTGATCCTGGTTGATAAGTAAGACAGACGGGATGTGAGTGACCCTATGATCTAGTAGATTGTGACTAAATTTGAAAAATTATTTGAGGCATTCAGCAGAAGTACACTTCACACCTTTCACTGACGAAAGGGCAGATGAAGTACCATACAGTGATATACCACTTAGCGTGAGTGGAATTACTATTTAAGAAAGCAAGAGAACATCTTGAGTAATGAAAGATCGATTAGTCAACGCATTAGGCTACTGACATGCGTCGTGCGATGGATGA